CTGCTTTCATTTTACTCTCCATTCATGGTGCTTGCACTCCTTTGACATCTTGTTATTTCTGTTGTGAGCTTATATTCGTTGAAACTAACAGCTATTTGGGCTTCTATTGTGTGTGTGTGGGTGGATGGGTGTTGATAAGGGTCTGGTGTAGGGGTGGTAAAAGCTTGTGTTCTAGATTTTGCGTCCTGCAGGTGGTTCGAGGCACATAGAGACATTACTCAAGGTAGAGAGGTTCTGGATGGTGATTTTTGCTCACTTTTACTCTGGTCGCTCAGAATTTCTCTGACCATTCTCTTTTCTAAGTGCTGTCGCCTTCGTTGTAGTGCCTAATTTGGAGTCTCCCTGTACATGACTTCGCAGCCCAGCCAAATTCCGATGTTTTCCCTGATGTTACACCTCTTCTTTTTGGCTGGAGCTGAGCTGGATATACTGCTTTCTTATTCCACAGTTGCATTAGGGGACAATGTGACAGTGTTGAGTGAAAAGCACACAGTTAGAACACACTTTCCTTGGGCCTCTCCTCTGTCCAGGATACCTGACTGCCAGCTCATAAACTGATGTTTCTTCTCACAATGGAACCCAGTCTTTTTTTTCCTTCCCTTTTGCAGGAACAATTTCTTACAGTGTGTTGTTGTGGTTGTTTTTGTAGTGTGGTTTTGTCTTGTTTTGTATTTTTAAGCTGGAATCTGGGATTCGTTTCTTATGCTTTTGCTTCTGGTGATTTCTTGATTGGGTTTGGAAAGGGCGCTCATTCTTGATTATACTTGTTAATTAAATATTTTATCTAAGCATAAATGTTCTCCTCTCTAAATAAGATTCTATAAAATTGACAAATTAATTGGTCAAAGTCTGCCTCTGACAAATGAAAAAGATACAGCTTCATTGACATAGAAGTCACTTTTGTAGTTTGTTTCTTAAATTTTTATTTTGGAAACAACAGGGAATATACTCCCTGTTGCTTAGCAGTGACATCTAATCTAATGAAATGTAAAATAGTTCTTTATTTAAAGACTGATATCATTAGAGTTTAAATTAGAAGAAGCAGCAATAGTGACTTGAAAATTAAATATAAAATGTGTGTCTTTGTCATAGAATTTATTATAAAATAAGCAGGAATCTATTACTAGGTATCTATGGTCCTGTGTATAAACTTAACAAAGGATATAGAAAACCCTTGACTTTCTTTTTTTTAATTTTGGTATCATTAATCTACAATTACATGAAGAACATTATGTTTACTAGGCTCTCCCCTTCACCAAGTCCCCCCCACAAACCCCATTACAACATTATACATGCTAATCATAATGCTCCATTTCTTTTTCCCCACCCTAATTCCTCCCTTCCCACCCATCCTCCCTAGTGTCTTTCCCTCTGGTAACTGTTAGTCCATTCTTGGGTTCTGTGATTCTGCTGCTGTTTTGTTCCTTCAATTTTTCTTTGTTCTTATACTCCACATATGAGTGAAATCATTTGGTACTTGTCTTTCTCTGCCTGGCTTATTTCACTGAGCATAATACCCTCTAGCTCCATCCATGTTGTTGCCAATGGTAGGATTTGTTTTCTTCTTATGGCTGAATAATATTCCATTGTGTATATGTACCACATCTTCTTTATCCATTCATCTATTGATGGACACTTAGGTTGCTTCCATTTCTTGGCTATTGTAAATAGTGCTGCAATAAACATAGGGGTGCATCTGTCTTTTTCAAACTGGAGTGCTGCATTCTTAGGGTAAATTCCTAGAAGTGGAATTCCTGGGTCAAATGGTATTTCTATTTGGAGCATTTTGAAGAATCTCCATACTGCTTTCCACAATGGTTGAACTAATTTACATTCCCACCAGCAGTGTAGGAGGGTTCC